CTTTGGAACTGAGACGGAAGCCCAGCAAGGTTAAAGATGTGAGGAGAAAATGGCATTTTTTTGATTGGAGAATTAGACCTGCTTGATTCAGTCGAGTAATGAACTCTTTGACGAGAGTGGCGTGTGCGACTAGATCAGTTGTATGGGTACCGATTGTGATATCATCAATGTAGGCAAAGACTGTAGGCAAATCACGAAAGAGATTGGAAATAATGCGCTGAACAAATGATGGTACTGTCTTTATGCCGAAACAACATTTTCGAAAGACGTATTGTCCCGTGTGTGTGGTGAAGGCTGTGAATGGCTGGGATTCTTTAGCAATGGCAAAACGAGTAAAGCAGCTTTTTAAATCAAGAACTGTAAAAATGGAGCAATGTGATAATTGTTCATGGATCTCATCTATGCGAGGTAAGCTAAACGCATCAGATTTAGAGGCGATGAGATGTTGATTGAGGAATCGCATGTCGGCACAGATTCGGACTTCGGAGCCGTAATTACCTGCAATGTCTCGCTTCTTTGCGAAAAGAATGGGATTATTATGAGGTGTGTTAGCGTCGGCTAAAGTAATAGTTTCCTCCTCGAGCCAAGCCTCAATTTGTTCGTCGAGTTTAGATTTATAGGCTAAGGGTAATGGATATTGTTTACGGAAGATGACTGTGTTCTCAGGGAAATGGAGTGTAACTTCCGAGTTAGGTACTGTACAAACCGATTTAGGATCGATGGAAGCATTAGAATGTAATACGATTTCCAGTGATTGTAAGAATGTGGATCGTTCTGTGATAGAACCGTAATATTCGTATGTAGGTGTGTTGGGTAATGGGTCAATAGGATCTTCGATCGTAGGTAGACTATGTTCGTCCCATGTAGTAGTGAGCCCAGTAATGTTAATGTTCATTTTAGACATGAGGTCAGTGCCAATGCAAACATCTGCTTCACTATTCAGATTGAAAACTTCGAAGGTATGATGAATGTTAAGATTATTATAGAATAGATGAACGTTGTCAATAAAACCGATACGCTCGATGGAGCTATTAGCATCGCCCAAAGAAATAGTGTGATTTTTAGATTGTAACAGAGATGATTTATTTAATGCAATAGGAGTAGGTAAAGAGGGTGTGAGACCCAATTTGGAAGCTAAAGAAGGCTTCAAGGAGGAGAAGTTGGAACCGGAGTCAACATAGGCCCAGCATTTATAGTTCTGAATAGTGACAGGAATAATGATAGAATTAGTACGGTCATTGAGAGGAGCAGGCTCGTCATTGATGGTAATGTTAGACTTACCGTGGAATGGTTGAAGAGATGGGAGATCCTCGTCTTGGACGAATGGAAATGAAAGAGTAGGTGCTTCGTCAACGTGGCTCCTGGGAGGCGAACGTTGAGAGGAAGGAAGATGATGAGCATCTGGATGGTTAAGGTTCATGTGCATGGCACGTTGAGTAAGTTCGTGCATGTGAGGAGTGGTAACTGGTTGTTCAGGCGCACCAGAATGGTGACCAGTAGTGGGAGCTGTGGTGGGAGCTGAGTAAAAACGGACATTGTTTCTACTCCTAGCATTAGGACAACGATGGCTAGGTGTCCACTCAGCGGCACAGGTGTAACAATTACGAGTAGGACGAGACATGTTGTTGTTGGTGGCACGGCAATCGGCGGTGTTATGGCCAGAAGTACCATGATGAGAGCAGTACATGGCACCAGAGGAAGAGGGTCCACGAACACGTCGTTGATGGCGGGCAGCATGGTTCAAGTTCGTCCTGGGAGTATTGTGAGCGTATTTGGAGGCGGCACTTCCCAAAGGCATAGGAGTAGGACGGGCGTCATCGTTGGCAGCATCACGGTGAGCAAATTGATTGCTAAGGTCTCTGGTGAGTGACATCACATACGTAAGATTACGTTTTGTGTCCCTAGGAGCGGTTGCCAAGGCCAGAGTGACACGGTCTGCAAGTATCATAGGAAGAGCAGAGATAAACCTGGTACAGAGGATCGAAGGATCTGTCAGACCGGAAAGGCGGTGCAATCGTTGAAAATGTTCAATGAAAGACTCGATAGACTCTTGAGGGTCCATACGTACCAAGAGGAGAGCATTGGTGTTGACCTCTTGTTCAGCATCCTGGGTGACACCATACTCCAAAGATAGGGCCTCACGATAGTCTTCCCAAGGAAGGTTCTTCTTACCCTGGATGGCCGCTTGCATCCAATCTCTCATGGCAGTAGGGAGGCAAATGATCAGTAAACGAAGTCCATGTTGGTTCAGGTCCAATTGATAGGCATGTAACACATCCTCGAAACGATTCATACAAGCTTTGAAACTAGGGAAAACCGGCTTGGTAGTATCGGTTACGGCTCCAGACCACTGAAAATAGGGTACATGGGATGGGACTTGACGATCGTCGGTATTCTTGACTGCAGCGATAGGATTAGATACGATGGTAGTGGCATCGCTAGGTTGGATTACCAACTTCAGAGCTTGGAGCTCGGTAATTGAAGCACGTAAGTCCTTCAGTTCTTGAATGTAGTTACCACTGGTAGGATAGCCCTCCTGGACCATGGCAGACGAGATGGCATGGGTGCGGCTGATAAGCAATTGGATATTCTTTCCAATATCGAAAGGTTCAGTGACAACCGGTGCTGTAGTCGTACAGTCTTCCATCTCCGTATCGTCTTGGTAGGAATTGACAGGAGTACCTTCAAGGACAGATTTCTGAGCAGAAAACGTCTGGTTCATAGCAGGGGTAAGAGCGGTGGTAGAAGCAGCAGAGTCGGTTGTAGACATGATAAAAAATTTTTAATAAAAAGATAGCGTATAAGAATTCAAATAAAAAAATGAAATATTCCAAGAAATAAACGGTTAAATTATTTGAGACTAAAACTAGATATCTTTTTATTAAATGGAAAAGGGGATCCTTTTTATAAGGAAGGATTGAAATAGATTGTTATCCGGGAAGATCAGATGGGAGCGTGGATTGGAAGTAGACATTAATATCTTGATCAGTTAATGGTTTATGTTTCAGAGCTGGGTTGCTATTAAATGTCAAGTAGATTATAGGCTGGATATATAGTGTGTATATATCAGATTTATTTAATGCAATAGGAGTTGGTACAGAGGGTGTGAGACCCAATTTGGAAGCTAAAGAAGGCTTCAAGGAGGAGAAATTAGAACCGGAGCCAACATATGCCCGGCATTTATAGTTCTGAATAGTGACAGGCACTGAGAAGTTTTTTTCAGGTTCAGGTGTACGGTAGACCAATACCTCTGGTTCTGGTCTAATTTTTTTATATAAACAAACCTGAACCTCTAAAACGTGACGAATAAAATCATGGTATCCTTGTTACTTTATAGGATTGTATTGGTCAATTTTTTATAAAACTAGGATCATTATACCCTTGCACTATTGCAAAAAAAAAAAAAAAAAAAACAACATTTGGAAATAATAGAATTTTTGGGGATAAATAAATAACGTTTATTGAAATAAAATTTATTGTTCAGCGAAATAGTCAGAACTTTTATGTATACATCTATAATCTATTCTAAAAAGGATAGCATGTCACTCTTTCGGTCTGTAAGACAAGGATTGAAAGCTATAACTGGAACCAAATACCATGATCGTAGTAAGGTTTGCCGCAATTTCGACAGTGTATGGAGAGCCAGATGAAGAAGTGGCAGCCAATTAGAAAAAATGTATTACTTACCTTCAACAAAGCTTGTCGTATTTGGGTATGATTTATTTGAGAATAAACAAATAAATCGAATAAAATAAAAACATGGAATAAAAACATCCTTTAATATTAAGTAACAGCATACACCTGTATACTGCTACACAACGACTCCTACTATGAGTACATATTTCTATATAAAAAGATTGCATGATTGGCTTAAAATCGATATACGAATGACAGTTGGATATAGAATTCTATACCACTGAGTTACGATATCACCGATCGAGAAGAGAAACTTCTCAGATCAATCAAGAATTATAAGAAAGAGAAACTTAATATTAATAGTTCTCTCAATGGATTAGCTACCCAGAGAGAGACTAGAACAGCTATTAATATATATGGTTCATTTACGTATATACTGATATAATTATACTGCCGATAAAGAGTATAAAGAAATAGTGTATGAATTAATGGGTACCTAGCTTCTACAACCAAATATACAAATATCGATAAGACATTTTATATTTGGGATCGTAATTTATTCATTACAAAGATAATGAATAAATGATCAACTTTTATGTTCTATTGCCAATTACACTTGACAAACAAGTATGCATCTTTTACAGTAACCGTTGCATGATCTGATAAATAAGTGTCTCGTAATACTAAAGATTTATTAGCATACTCATGCTCCCGATCCACTGATATGGGACAACGCTATCTGGAAACAATTCTAACGAGTAGTATCCATTTAACTCAAGGCGGGAAACAAAGTATAGATCTATTCCAAAACCAGAAAGGTTGACTCATCATTAAAACTCAGGAGAGTTGTGCAATATAAAAAGGATCAATTATTTCATAGCAGCAGAGTTCTTTTAGTCTATTTTTACCCCTAATAAAAATATACTTTTATCTCATTACTTTTCTATGTAATATTTTGTCAAATACCACACATAGATCTATTCTAAAACCAGAAAGGTTGCCTGATCATTAAAACTCACTGTCGTGATGGAGGCTATATACTTAATATACGACTCTATCTACACTTCTTAAATCTTCCATTTGATAATCCTACAGTGCATCTATTTTAAAATGAACAATTTTTGGCTCCGATTTTTCAAAAAAAATAAAAACTCTATCTCCTCGATGAATTTAACAGATATCCAAAATCCGGCTCTATTACATTCTTTATTAAAGAGTTCTCTACAAACTAATAGAGCCGGATTTTTTTTTTTTTCACACAAAATGTTTTACAGATGGCAAAACAAAATCGGCCATTTACAGTGGGGAGACCCAAATATGTCCGCGTGTTTTTACAGTGTAAAATTATAAATTTGTGCCAGCTTTCTCCGGCTAAATATATTGCCGGCGGAGATGTAAAAATACGATAAATTTTTTTTTCGTAAATCTAATTCTGACCAATCACCAGAGCAATGGATTTTGGCGGAAGGTACCAGAAACTTTGACATTTGTGCAACATGATCTTTTACTTCAATGCCTAAATCAAAGAGACAAGGACGCCATCTTCAAAAAATGCGCGAACATCGCAGTATAGACAATAAACCAACGGTAGAAATAATCAGTGATGAGCCTCAAGATGAGCCTCAAATTATGCCCTTGGAGCAAGATAAAAAGGAAAATGGTAATAAACTTGTAACAGTTTTTTTTGTTATTAGTACAGATATCTAATAAATAGTCGCTTCGTCTTAACCCACAGCTTTTGAAAAAATTAACGGAGATCAAGCAACGTCTTTGTACAGTCGTGGATTTGATGTGTGTGATAGACATAAGAGAAGAAAACTTCAAAAAAACAAAGAGATGGCTAAAGGAAGTACCTCTATTCTCAGTTTTTTTAAACCAATCGAGGAAACAACTCCAGAAAAAACTGAAATGGAAAAGATTGCCGAAGCTCTTGTTATTTTGGATACGGAATTGGCACCAACAATTAATGCTCGCTCTGAGCAACAAAAAAATGGTGTTTATGAAAACTCCAAGTATCAAGCTGTCCATCTGTACTTGTCACTTCGCTTAAAAGGATTGAAAAAGACAGAAGCATCTGAATGTGCAGCAAAAGTATTTTGGTACAGCAAAGCTACTATTTACCGTAGCCTTGTCATAAGAAAATACGCAGACGAATATTTGGAAACTAAAAAAATCAGCAAAGGAATGCAGGGATTGCATAGCAAGAGAGTATCAATTCTTGACGATAATGATATCAAAAGAAAAATCGTCGAATGGTTTCGCGCTGTACCTCGCAGCCAAAGACGTATTCCCGGCATACAAAATGAGTTGCGTACAAATATCCTTCCCGGTATAGATGTCGATTCTGTGGATGCCAGCAGCCCTTTGTCTGCCGAATGTATTCGCAGAAAGTTAATTGAATGGGGTTTTAACATTAAGCCTCTCGGTAATATTTCGACATGTCATTGGTAACCATTTGTAATAATTCTGCTTTTATAGGTCGTACCGTATACTTTGATGGACACGAGAGAGAAGACGTTATCGAGTATCGTCAGATTTGGGCCAAGCGAATGATGGGGTATCTGGAACTGTCCCAGCAATATGACCCTAACGATGTTAGTGTAGAAGTTCCGTTGGTGTTACCAGTAGGCCGAAAACAACATGTTTTGGTTACACATGATGAGAGCACATTCTATGCCAACGATTACCAAAAACAAGCATGGCTAGAAAATGATGATAGCTACTGTCTGCCCAAATCTCAGGGCAGATCAATCATGATCTCAGAGTTTCATTGCAAGTGCCATGGTACCATGAGGGCCACAATTGATAACAAGATAATGACTTCAAGAAAGATTTTTTATCCGCGTGCAGCAAGTGAGGGTTATTGGACTAGCTCTCACATGCTGGAACAGTTGCAAGACGTTCTTGTGATCTTTGCGTTCTTGCATAAAGATAGCATCGGAGTGTTCTCGTTCGACCAAAGCAGCAACCACAAGGCCTTTGCTTTGGATGCTTTGGTCGCCAACAGAATGAACATGCTTCCCCATGAAGTAGGTAAAGATGAGGTTCGAGTACGAAATGGTGAATATACCGGAAAGTCTGCCGCAGGTGAAGATGCTACCAAAATCCAGGATTTTTATGTCGAAAGAGACAACAATTTTGTTGAAATTCAAAAATTGCACAACTCAAAGTTGGATGCTGATTTAAAACGACAAAAAATTGTAGAGCTTATTAGAAAAAAGCATCCAGTAAGTTACTTAAGGAATACCAATTGGAGTAATTTTTTTAACTTTTTGATATTTTTTATGCCAGAACAACAAAATGAAGGTTTATTTTAAGGGCCTCAAATTAATCCTTCAAGAGCGAGGACTATACAGTGGCCAAAATAAGGACTGCCATAACATCGCCATTGCTGATCATACGTGTTGTGCAAACCATCTGGTTGGTAGCCAGCCCGATTTTTTGAAGCAAAAATCAATTTTGGAAGAAGCTATTGGCAATGCAGGCCATATCTTTGAACTGTACCCCAGATTCCATTGCGAAACAAATCCGATCGAACGATTTTGGGGGGCCGCTAAGAAAGTTGCAAGACAAAATTGCAACTACAACTTCAAGTCCCTCGACAATAATATCAACATGTTTCTGGATAGTGCTGCTCCTCCTGGAGAGCCACCTCTTTTAATTAGAAGATACTGGAACAAAAGCTTCCGTTATATCGAAGCTTACAGCCAAGGCAAAGATGCAAAAGACGCCTTTGCCATTGTTAAAGAATTTTCTAAATTGCAAAGATCACATCGCAAGCTTCGGTTAGACCAATAAAAAAATTACACTACAATCAGGAAATGAATTAGGAACTTCCTAAAAAATAAATACATAAGGACATGAGAAATGAACATTTTAAAATGAAATGAGCAAAAAAAAAAAAAAAAAAAAATTATAGGGATCGGACTTGAAATTCTCAAAAATGTCCGTTTTTTCAAAAATTGTTCATTTTAAAATAGATGCACTGTAAATATAATTCTTTTTGATACTGTTATATTAAATACTGATCATTTACTTTATGTACAGGCTTGATCTCATATCATCCTTCATACAAGTATAAGACATACATTTAAATAATAACATTGATATAAACACATATGAAGGTTACATCAGCCACATTGAGGTGCCACAGCTATCTGAATTAAGAACTACATTTTCCCCTGAATATTGTGCTACAAGACATACACAGTTTAAGAATGAATGTTATTGTTATTGTTATTGACATCTCATTATGGCCTTTCTATATGTGATCATTACATCCGAGTATTATCTGGATGAATCTACCCACGACCGTCATCAACCCATTTGTGATGAATGTCTGAAATAATGTGTATATAAAGACCCCCTTTTATTTGTTTAATAAAGCCTTAGTTAAGTCTTGCAAGTTTGATAATTTTCTTGTTTTTATTTTTATAAATCTACACCGATTTTCACACTCACGAGAGTTGTGCAATATAAAAAGGATCAATTATTTCATAGCAGCAGAGTTTTTTTAGTCTATTTTTAACTTCAATAAAAATTTACTTTTATCTCATTAGTTTTTAAATAGGGGGTTTCAGAATCATAAAATTTAAGTTTGCAAAAATGTTAGTGTAACTCCATAAGCCAATTATATTCATCACTTTTTGAGTCCCCCCCCCTTTCAATGAAATAAAAATTAAATTGTAAAACTTTGTATCGTTTACTATGTTAATTTTCAATAAAGGGATATAGATTAGTTAAATATGTCGATGCATCATAAAATATTCTGCCATTGAATTCTAAGTTTTTGGTCTAATTTAGACTATTTTATTTTTGCAACTCTTTTGTTGCAAAAACTTGGAAAGAATCATTAACCAATGATAACCCAGAAATATTTTTGCAAAATATAAGGTTTTTGATTCTGAAACCCCCTAATGTAAGATTTTGTCAAATAGCACAAGATTCGCAAAAACCTCGTGGTGAAATCCTCTCGTCCCAATTTTTTTTCAGTGGGAAATAATATTTTCAGGACAAATGTAGTAAGACACCTCCTCTCTAACACAGTTAGGTTGACAATCTTGATGGTCCGGCAATAGTAAAAGAAAGTTCAACCATTCGCTTACCGACACTGGTTCAAAGACGCAAGAACGTTCTTGAGAGTGATCAACGGAAAAACTCATCGTTTCCAAATTTGAGCCAGAAAATACTCAGTCCAAAATTGTGTAAGGAACATCGAAGCTAGACGCATTCCGAAACCGTACTCCATTAGGCCTTGCTGAATGGTATATACATTTCTAACGGTACAAATGTCTGAAATATCATAGAGAAATAATTGCCGATGACTAAAAGCTCTTTCAACTGGCATGACTGAATCAAGCAAGAATGTGGAGTACACCTGCATAGGACCAAAAGTAATTGCTGCAAGGGGAAACGCGTTCGATCTTCTTGACAAAACACCATGCAAGCTGGAATCGGAATTTTGAATGATACGGGGAAAAGATTCAGGTACATCCGCACCTTCTACATCACCATGGTGTGAATCGACAACTACATCTAAATTGCTGGTGTCTGTAATTACAGAAATGGAAAAAGCTTGCTGCATGCGGACCAAATCAAAAGTATGCCCAAAAATGACTCTGTCACCATCAAGAGCAATTTCAAGTTTTCATTATGTTCGATAGTTTGAGAAAATCTCAATTTCATCCCTTGGTTGACCAAAACGAAGACAGGCCGTCAAAAAGGGCGAAGTCATTTTCACTACCAGCGTCTTTAACGAGACGCATCATGTCTGGCAGAATTTAGTTAAGTTTTAGAGTGATCTGTTTAAGGCTGCATGGACAACGCCTTTAGTAGCGGCAGTCTTATCCGGGATAGCAACTGTTCTCCCTTATGTTTTAATAAGTCCACGCCAGATATAACAATATATTCACCAATATTTAATTCCTATTTTCATATATCATTGTCAGCATGACGCTTCATGTTAACACCTATTTTGTTTATTGGTAGTTAATACACTGAAAAGATAATATACGGATATGTATATTTACGTACAGATGCGATGACCATAATAGTTTTAACAATAGTCCTACCTTGTATCCTTTACATAAATTCAATTTTTTAAAATTGTTTTTAGATTTGTGACACAAAAATTACAAATTGTTAAATTTGTTCTTGAAAGAAACTCTACCACCATCGACTTACATTATTTAAGATGTGACTTTTTTGATATCGTTGTATTTGAGCTTTATACATTGTTATTATAAAAAGGTAAAGACTACGTAAAACGTGAACCTAAATTATGGTGGAATTTTGAAATTGAAAAAAATAACGACATAAAAGATGACCATGTCTCACGCTTTACCTAGAATTTTTGTCGTGACGTTAAATTCTATTTAGAGGGTCAACCTGGTAATAGCTTTATGTTTATTCTGCATAAACGGCACAGCATGTTAGATACGTAACATATTATGGGAATAAATTCCGAGTAAACTTATCATCCTTGTAATTTCAGTTGCTAATGTTTGTGGATCGCTACAAATAATATTTATACATTCAGCAATGAAAAGCAAAATGCAAAAAAACAGATTATTATTTCTCACATCTTTGTTAATTTATCATGGCTAAATAATGGTTGAATCATTAACCCTATTACTATTTGCTTTTTTGTATCAATTTAAAAGTAGCTACCAAATGTGTAATTTGTTTCTTAATTAAAAGCGGCTTTATAATAATAATTCTATCGATTTTCTGATTTAAAAACAATCATTTTTAATTGTTCCCCGTATAATATAGTTCCATCTATACCTAATGGACAGGTGCACAAAACCACAAGTCTATTTGAAATTGTCGGGATGAAATGAATTTTTCGTTCCGATCTTGCTGGGCGGAGCTACAAAATGTCCCGGATATTTACAAAGGAATTGTATTTATTTGAAGTTAATACGGTGCACTTATCACAGTATTTGTTGCTGTCGTACTGGAATCGAAGTACATAGAAAGTCAAAAATGCCAAGGTCATATACGGTTTTGGATTGCAGCTGAATATTACGGTTGTAATTTTAAGTCATTAATTTTCACGTTTTGTTGGTCGCATCCAGAGCAAATAATAACAGACGAACGTACTCGCAATAAGTATTTTGTTTGTAAATAGCGGCTTATCCAAAATTACATCCGCGGAGTAATTCTGTTTTCACATTCTTTGAACCTTTAGCACAACAATCAGAAATTGTTAAATTTGTTTTTACATTTTTTGAACCTCTGGCATAACAATCACAAGTTGTCAAATTTGTTTTTTAGATAGTTATTATTATGTTAAAATTATTGGACCCATGAAAAACAGTCGCAAAGCTTACAAAAGTTAAGATTTTTGTGATGCTTCTAACCCTGACAATACCCGCTACGTTAACCTGCTAAATAACAGCCGTGCCGGATACTCGTTCCTCACTGACTATGAGAATAATATTTTGGTGAATACCAAAACATCAAAGTATGTTGTCTGTGCCAACGATGAGAAAAAGAGGGAAAATTATGGAACTTTCCTCTTTGTCGTGAATGGGGACGTATTGTCCTCAGAGAGGTTGTCGAGCAGTTTGGCACGGTATGTGTTCTTATACAAGTAACATACATATAAAATCTTACATACATTCTCTCTTCAGATTTACAAACCGTATAATCGGGGCACCTTTAAATCTCCAAAGCTACAGACATGTCCCAATTGCGTTCATGTATAATTTATTAAAGCATTTCACACCTGTGAATGAAGCCGATGAGGAAAGAGATGTTTATGACTTGCCCCAAGAAACCGAAAGAGCAAGTTCGTCCTTGCTTGTGGATCGCCAAGCAGGTCACTCAGAAGCAACTGCTTGAAAAGTCTATGCTTTCTCAAGCATGGACTTTTCCTACATGGGGAAAGACAATATGTTGAATTTTTTCCTCTGTTCCCTTGAGTGGCACACGTTGTTGAGTAAGCACAACTTCCTCAATATTTTATTTCTGTCATTAATTTTTTTTCTTTTGCCGTCCAATTTAGAAATCACCACCAGTGAAATGGACAAGGTTGCTTTGCAACAAAGGAAGCCCAAAAGAATCAATATGGAAAATGTTGTCCATTCGGTGGAAACTGTTCCTGAGACTGTAGCTCCGTTAACTACGGTATCTCTGGTGGATTTGGGTACATATTTTACATTGAAAAGATCTCTAACTCATAAATATTAAAACAGGGCCACAAATGTTGCAAGGCCGCGTTTCAGCGGAAGCTATGCCAGAGCATGGTACGTAAAATAATCGCAAATTATGATACACTGTTAAATTGTGTCATTTAAACTTAGATTTCAATGCTTTGCTTAGCTTGAGAGCTTTTCTGAGAAGCTCAACGGCGAATTTCAAGTCGTTGGAACAAGCTCAGGGTGTTGCTCTCGTGTTGAAACGCCAGGTTGACATTCTGGCGGAGATGCCAACAGGCGCTGGAAAAAGTCTTCTTTTTCTCCTGCCTTCATTTATGGAGGCTGGAAAAAATTTAACCACTGTTGTGGTAATGCCTTTGGTGGTCTTGACGGCCGACATGATGAAGAGGTGTCGGGAGGTCGGATTGAAGTTCGACACTTGGAGAGGTACTTGCTTTTTTTTTAGGGGGCGAGACGCTCACTGCGATCAGCATTTTGTTTGTTGCCGTCGAGCACTGTTGCAGCACCGAGTTGCAAGGTTTTTTGGCCAGGTTGCATAGTCTGAAGCGCCTGGCCCGCATCGTCATTGACGAGTGCCATTTGTGTCTGACTTGGTCCGATTTCAGACCAGCCATGTTGGACACTTTCTTATTTCGAAAATTGCCGGTGCCATTGGTTTTGCTGTCCGCAACGGTGCCACCTTCGTGGGAGAAGACCATAGAATCCCTGTATCAGATCGACTTCCAGGTGATCCGATCTTCTTCCACGATCAGACCAAACATTGCTTACTCAGTTGTTCAGAGTAATTTTATCATCGAGCAATGTTTGGTCGTATCCATTCTTTGGGGTACGACAACTTCTGCGGTGTAATTTACACCAACACAATCAGTTTGTGTGAGACGGTGTTCTCTGGTGCCCGTAATAGGTTCACATCTTTGGAAGTTTCGATGTACCATGGTAAACTTCCCGTGGAACAGAAGAAAATAATGCAAGAAAAGTTTATGAAGGCTGGCAAGTGCCTTATGGTAGCCACCTCGGCGTTCGGTGTTGGCATTGACAAGCCTAATGTCAAATATGTCTTTCACCATGGCATGCCATCAAGTCTCCTGGACTATGCCCAGGAGTCAGGCCGAGGTGGCCGAAATGGAGCAAGTACCGGTTGTTGCAACTTCACCAATGACGATGAGCAAAGTAATTTTGCTCAATTCAAATCTCGTTCTTCTCTCTTTTGCAGGAAGAATGAGATTGATACGAGTCTCAATATGGTGTTGAACTATCTAAGAGTACGTTAAATGTGTGGTATTTGACAAAATTGATACAATTGGAAAGTATATGTTTACTGCAGGTAAAAATAGACTCAAAGAACACTGCTGCTATGAAATAATTGATTTTTTTGTATTGCACAGCTCTTCTGGCTTTTAATGATGATGTAATAAATCGGTAGTATAATTTAATAAAATAAAAAATAAAGTTTATGAGTACGTTAAGAATTCCTTTATAAATTTATTGACCAAGATGTTAAAATAATAATTTGGGGTCTATTTATACTAAATAAAAGCTGGAAACTAATTTCATATTTGACAGTAATTAGTCATCAATAAATTTCTTCTTTGACTGTCGAATACACAAGTCAAGTTTGTGTTCTTATGTCGGAATAAATATACTTAGATCCTTTCAATGTTACTGGATCTTGGTATATTATTTACCGATAGATCTGTGATACAGACTATTTCCATTTATGTCAATTATAACTACTTTTATTACGTCTAAGGTATGTGGTTTGGCACAATTCTGTGTATTTGACCCAAATATATTTGGATTTATGTATCTGATTTTCTCGTATCTGACCTGTTTTATGGATATATTTTTTTTTGACAATTTAAATACGGAGCTCAGAATATTGGCACCCATTAAAAAGTACTGTCATATCTTTATAAACTTTTTTCGATCTCTGAGATTTATTTTTTACGTTTGTTTTTAATATACTTTTAGCAAAATATACTTCGGCTCGGGACTATTTCTTGGTGGTCTGTTTTCAACCTGGCATTGGTAACACAGAGGCTGTTTGGCAAGCCATCTACATTGTTACGGTTCTTTAAAAGTGAGGTGTATAAAATTATATGCTGAGTGTGTCAATTGTTTATATTTATATTAAAGTCTCCTGTTCGATACGGCGTAAATTCATATTCTGTTGGCCTTGTATGAGATTGACATAATCTCTGTACTTTCCTAAAACTACGCCAAATATATTCCGCTGGTGATTGTTGGTAAAAATGTACGTGTGTTACTTGTTCTTGATCTTTTGTAATTTCATCGTGGCTTTATTGATACATAACCACGCCTCCCTATTTTTTTTATTGCGGATGAGCTGGCTACTCCTAAAAGTATGGGAAATATCTCCCAGTTATAATATCTGCAAAAATAACATTATTTTGTGTTTTCTAATTTCTCAATATTTTCCGGATACCTATTTGGTCAATAAAAATCTTATGCGCTTTGTATTCATACAAGAAAGCGAAAGGGTATGTCATTACATTTTGAAAATTACGTGGTACTTAGGCATATTTACCGAAGCCAAATTAGGCTACCCGATCATAATCCACAATATTTGGCAATATTTCGACTACTGATAACCTCACACAAACGCAGAAAGTAACTATTCGACTAGACTGATCTTCCTTGTCTTTTTAATTACTCATAAAAAATCAATAAATTATCAAAAGTTTTATTTTATTCTCTTGTCCCATTTTTATCACATGCTACTAGATGTTCTAATTAAAAAAGTCTTTGTTGGATATCAATAAACTGCTCATTTTGGTGATGTGAACTGCTGTCCATATTGCGGTGCTGACCGAGCGAAAACGAAAATCAATTATATATAGTATCTTTCGAATTAATTTTATTTTTATTTTTTGCTGACTTTAACAAAAGAAGATAAAGCAATCATACTCCATATTATTTATTTGAATCCCTCAACCAATTCGGTTAGAATTTATCTCGACATTTGAATGATATTGTTTGTATTGTTGGACACGTGCCGTACACCATGACTTGCAATACGTATATAATTATCTCTTGTCACATTTTGAAAGAATTGTTAGATTCCAAGGTAGGTAATGTAGGTAATCTTCAAGATATATAAAGAAAATAAAAATAAACCTAGATAAAATGACGTGAATGAATCTTAAACGCTGAGCGAACATCTGGTTGAAAATAGAAAAATTGGAACATTAGAATTTATAACCCAACCATTTACCAATTGTTATTTTTTATAAAAATAAAAGGTGAATAAATGCGGCATAGTGCAAGCATAACTTAGGCATTTCTTCTATACATGATACTAACGCTTGTTTCTGAAGATGTTTCATTCCTGTCATTTATAGCTTCTTTTTCCATGCTCCAAAAAATCAAAGGGTTTACATTCGGGATGGGTTCTTGGAACCGGGAAGCTTTACGAGCACAAAGACCACGGCGATCTTTTCTGTACATCTTTGATTTTGTGGATGTCGGGATCCATTTGCAAAGAAACAGAGATCCAACCATTAGCAAAGAATGGAACTTTGCTAAATGGTCATAACTTATCAACGGATTTCCAAACAGCTCAAGATACCACGCTCTCGTTCCAAACCTTGACCAATAAAGGTCTACACCCTTCCCCTTCATCCATTTGCCCAACTCGGCTCTGACAATGGCAGGTTGACATTTTTCTTTCTCGGGCAGAGGAAGAAGAAAAGACAATCGCTCTACAATTGTGATCGGTTCGAACGACGACAAAAGATGGACTGCAGATGCAACCAGTTTGGTGTGATCACCAGTAAAACCAAGCGTTTCAACACCACAAGCATCAAAACCCTGACCCAAAAAAGAAAAATAGTCGGCTCAAAACTGTTCCAAAAAACAAGCGGCAAACTGTGATTCGAAACCATTTTGCATCAGACCTTGATGAAGACTATGAACGTTCTTCACGGGACTGAGGCGGGTTATGTCGTACAGAAACAAAGAACGTTGGAAGAATGCACCTTCCACAGGGATCAAACTACCAATGAAATACTCGGAATACACCCGAAGAGGACCAAACGTAATTGCTGGAAATTCAAACCAAGTTGATCTTCTGGACACTAGTTTGTGAACATTTGGATCCGAATTACTGATCATGCATTCAATTGTCGAAGCGATGTTCGCAGCAGAGTCACCTTGTCCAGCGCCAAAAAAAGCTGCTACATTACCGTCGTTTTCAGCAGCAATATAATCCATGGCTGGTATATCTACAATTTTGGCATCCGTAAACACTTTTTGCATTCTAGCCATGTCGAACGTATGGTCAAACACTATTGTTTCTCCAACGAGAACAAAAGCATCTTCAATAAAACACAATCTGTTATTTTTGCATCGCTTTGACAATACAAAATTGCTGGCGTCGATGTTGGAGGTATCCTACAGGTGCATGAGGGAGTTGAGCATATAAGCCGCCAAATTCAAACCGGAAAGAGACTCTAAGAGCACACTGCCAAGGCATGGTTCGGCCAATTCACTGATGGCATTCATATAGAGTCCAACGTACTCCAGGTAAACTCTGGAATCCAGATGGATAAATGCATCATCAGCAACAGCTGATCTAAAATTAAACAATAAAGACTTAATATCAAATTTAAAATTGTAGATGTCAAAAGCATCTTACTTCAGTTTGCTTGTAAGCTCGGAATAATAATCAGGTGTTGCCAAAGTAGCAGGAACGCGAACTTCCAGGCGGGTGGTAAACTGATTGTTTTTGATTTCAGTAATTCTGTCATTGTACCATCTCTATACCAAATTTTTAAAGTTAGAGCATTAAAAATAAACATTGAAAACAATTACGTACCAAGTTTCGTTGGTGGCGCCCAGTGTAATGACGAAATTTCTTTCGCATTTCCTCGGCATTCCACTCACCACAGATACTACCATTGTACCCGACATTTCCCAAAGTAAATGGGTACTTGATGTCATTGTATATAAGCACCTTGGAGGCATACCTGGATGCAGGCGAGGCATTTACGGCTTTGATACCAGCAAAGGTACCCAAGGTCATGTTCATCAGCTTGGTCTTAGCTGAAGATCCAGCAAACAGATTGCCGAGGGAGTCACAATTATCTGCCTTTACAAGCGTAATGGCGGGATTTCCGAACTTTGCTTCGGCATAAAAATTGATACCGATGTCAACCAAACATTTGCTAGCATCGACTAACGACCAGTCCACCATGGTGTCAAGAATTGACAGATGATCATCACCCTAAATTGGACATTAGGCCTTCACACCAACAGTCCGGACGGTTTTTGTTCCAAAAACACTCTTTTTCATTTTTTGGTCATCCATGCTACAAATAAACTATTTGGCTGACGTCAGGTACCGGGATCGTTTGCATTTTTCTATAATGCCTACAGACTTTTTCTTTCAATCTATGATATCAAAATAAATAAAACACAACAACGAACGTTTTGGTAACATTTTGTTTCCCAAATTATTTGGCGTCTCAGGGACATGATCAAAATTATTTTAGCATTTTGATCACTTTCTGTTATATATACCGAAAATTTGGTGTAATTACACAAAAAATAAAAATGATTTTCTTGTTATCTGACAAGTGTTTGGTGTTTCAACATAAGCTTTGATTACAGAACTGAGATCGGTCAGTATAAGTTGCGTTTTATGACCATAGTATGTGTCATAGGACAAGTATTTATGTTGCATGATAAATATTTCTGTACCGATATGCAAATATTTTGTGTTGACACATCAAAATGTTATTAAAAGGCCATGTATTTTGGTTATAATAAAAGTTTTTTTGGTCATACGAAATATATCATTCTATTGTAATTGTGGTGACTAGCAAGACTATAGTCATATTAGAGCTAACAAAGGTTTATCCATGCTGATACCATTTGTGATATAAGCTTAAAAATAAATGTCATAGTAATAACTATAAGGATAGTACATCTGAGAAATACTGAAAATTTAGTTTAAAGCAAAGAGAGTTAAGAAGACTTAACATTTATTAGAACAAGACTAAATTAGTGTCTATATAATAGTCTTATACATTTTTGGTTAATCAATGATAACTTGAAGATAGCATAGAGATATGAACACCACAGACAGTCTTTTATATACAGTAAATACTCGTACATTTTACTTATTAATAAAGGACAATCTTAGAAACAGTCTCAAACTACTCCTATAGTCTTTTTATAATTTAACCTTACATTAAAACACAACAAGACGAATTAAGTTAATAATGGCCCTATCTTTTCAACAAGAAATTCCGCATCTCAGCAAATGTACGAAACCGTGGTCAAGGACCTCGCCTATTACAAGGAGCATGTTATAACCAATGGTATTCACACCTCTTGCAATTCTCTCGGTGTAAGATCCATCACCGTATGTGGTTATACAAAGAAAACCGTGATAGAGACGGTTGCTGCGTACTGGAGATCTTTGGCAGGTACGTATACTGAGGATCAAGCTAAAGAAAGGGCAACAGCAGCTTACAACAATGTCTTTACCATTTGCCAACATTTCTTGAAAGCATTGTACCAAGAACGATTTGGAAAGAATGGCGTCATTTGGAGGGGGATTCCTGCAAACGAGCAGAATGACGTATTGTACATGTTCAAAAGAATTGCGTACTTTTGGAACAAGCGCTCTGGCTTAAACGTTGGTACACCCGTCGAGGCATATCCTGGAGACCTTGTCTCTGTCATTGACGCCGAGAACCCAATGCTACCCATGCACCTCGCCGAAAAAAACTGGATATCCAAAAATATGATCCAGATAATGTTGAGGAACTCAGCAAGAGTAAGTAAAGCTGAGATATCAAATTAAGAATTTTTAACATTAACATAAATCTCAACTCTAGCCAGATTACATTGCTCATGATACCTCGGGTTTATGTTTGACTGGCCTGGAAAACCTTGGTGTCAATTCGGGTACTGAAGAGAGGTACGAAGACTTGGATATGGGCCTGTTTGAAAATTTATTTTCGATCCCTGATAACAGACCTCTTGCACCATCGTCTTCTTCCGCTTTGGTACAAAATCCTGTTTTGACCTCTCTTCCTCCCTCTGAGATGCCTCCTCTCTCTGACTCGCCTCCTCCTCACTCTGACTCTCCTCCTCCCACCTCTGCACCTGCCCTCTCCACCCCAAGTATTACCTGTCCAAAAGGTAAAAGAAAGGCTGATGAAATAGCATCTGGGACCATTAGTCGACCCTCAAGGGCTTTCCAAAAATAGAATTGAGCCTGAATTTTTTTTTTCTTATTTAAACTCTGATTTTTTTATTATTTTTTTCTTTTTTCTTTCTATTTCTTTGAAATAAAAACTCAACTTAAGGTTTGTATATGTGTATAGTTTGTGAATATATGATTTATCATAACCATTTGTTTACAAATGAAGATATAGTTATGTGACTAAGCATTAAACGCGCTGACACTCTCCAAACGGATTAAACCAAGACTCTTTGCTTTAAAAGTAAATTTAGTTACTCTTTTTATATGTATTAACACATTTGTATAGCTGAAGCCATCCCTACTTTCACCGCTTGTGAAAAGGTAAATATCTCGACTTTGGTTTATGTGTTTATTATTAGTTAACCCAAATTCCTAAAGCTATCTACTATCGTTGTTTATTTGAGGCTCGTACATCCCACGGTTTTGTAAAAGTACACATTGCTAAACTTGATAATTTATTCTCTTATTAACGTAAACCATCTTTATGCAGGTAAGTGAATACTGCTGCTCTTCCGAGGTCTTCGTATGATCACTATCGTAGTTCCTCTCATTATGTCTGTCTCTGGTCATATTATACTGGTCATTTTCTATATTTGAAGAGGTCTATCATGATCAGATTCGACGTTATTTAGTTGTTTTTTATAAATAAATTTTTTTTTCCAATATATACAAACGTGTCAATTTTAAGCCTGTATCCTGATTCAGCAGGTGTGTAAAAGTAATATTATATCGATTATCGATTACCCCTTTTTGGCTTATTAGACGGAGTATAAAATACGTATTTGTAAGCCTTAGAGATTGAATGAGAAAAAAATACAAAAATGACCAAAAAATGACCATATATCGCAAGCCATAGTATGCCATCTGAAAAATAAAAACCCTCTCATTATGTGCCAAGTGTTAGTAATTGGAATAAAATATTGAAAACAGAACTCAACAATGTGAGAAAAAGAAAGAAAAAGATAAACAAAAACTTTTCATGGTGACATCGGACACTATGTAAATGACTTATAATGATGTTGAGTCAAACAAATCCACTCAGCTCTTTTTCTTTTAAAAAATGGCTTTCTCAATATTGACACAATAATGTCTTAAGACTTTATCAATGCGATTATTTTTGAAAATAATTACCTCTCCATACCAGCAGTTGTGAGCAGCCAATTTTGAGAACCATGTATTATGTCATCTTACCCTCCGGGAACCACGTATTTTTACCGCAGCGCAGCGCAGGTCCAAAAATATGTGGTCGGAGGGGCCGTGTAATAAGCCTTTTAAAAAATGGGATCAGCGACCCGAAGGGGAGCCCCATTTTTTTTTTGTTTTTACCCCATCGAACGATATTTTTTTATTTTTTTGATTTATGGATGCATATCGTTAATCGCGATATTTTGGAAAGTTTGATCGATATTGCCAATAAGGATATTTTAGAAAGTTTGATCGATATCGCCAATCGCGATATTTTGAAAAATTTGATCGATATTGCCAATCGCGATATTTTGGAAAAATTTATCGATATCGCCAATCGCGATATTTTTAAAAAAAAGGTCGTTATTTCCGCTCTAATTTGTTTGCGATATTTTTCAATTTTTGATCGCTGATTTATTTTAGGGTGCAATTCCCAATTTCCGAGGGGCCTTATATTATGTACGAGCATTCCAATCAATACATTCTTTCATTTTCAAATTTTAATTAAATAAAATACGTTGCAGACCTTTAATGTGCATCTGATATAATAATTTTTTAAAAAAAATTGGTAGTTTTATCCACCAATTTCTTTAAAATTAGTAGTTTTTTTCACCAATTTTAAGCATGAATGCATCTAGACACCCCTATTTTTTTTTTTTGTCAAATAAAGAACGTCCAATCGTTGGTCCTCTATTCCTGTTATGTTTGCGCACGTCATATATTATATCCAATTGGGACATGGGAATATCAGTTTTTATTAGCGGAAAAATTACCTGAAGATAAATAGTGCCAATTATATTAGTATGTATTTGTCAAATAATGTGAAATGAACACCAACAAAATTAGGTGCTCTCAAGGTAAAATTCGGAATGGTGATCGAGCCTTTTTTGGGAGTGTACCCCATTTCTTAAATTAGACAATAAAATAAAATTCAATGATCAGGTGATGACGTGACAGCTTTTCACTTTCGAATCTACTAAAGGACCAACGTGATTTTATTAAATCAAAGAAAATAAAAAATAAAATATTTCCTTTTCGCTTATCTTAATTTTTTTAAAGTACCTATTTAACATGAACCCAATTGACGAAACTTTCTTCGACATGATGCAAGAACAACTTTGGATGGAAGATGACGCTGAACATTTCGAAGACGAAGATCAATATTTCGATGCCTTGGTGGACGAAATCAGTGCAATGGACGAAGAGTACGATTTGGAAGAGCAAATGCTTGAACAAGAGGTAGCCATTGCCGAAGAGCGCGTTGTTGCAGACTTCGCCCGCACCCAAGGCAACCATGATGTCTTTTCCTTGTTTGAACTTTGGATCAGGGAAACAATTTTACATGCAACCGCTCTTGTCAACTATGACATTTTTTATTATATTTTTACGAGATCGCGGCCCCAGCCCACTTCGGTAATTTTTTGACCTTCGCTTCGCTACGGTAAAAATAACCTACGTTCCTGCTGGGGGCGATCTCGCGCCTGCAGCGGGCCACCGACGCCACTCAATGCTAATAAAAGGGATAAAAATAGAGTTTATTGATAATGAATAATATATGTTAAATCTAAGTGTGGTTTTGTGTTCGATTTAAGACTTCGGTAAATACAACGTTGTCTGTGAGTGTTGATAATGGTTGCTCTTTTAATAAGATTACATTGAGATTGGCAGGGTTACGAACCCGTGATAAAGCAACATAAAGTTGACCGTGCGTGAAAACGGGTTTGATCAGACAAATTGCTGCAAAAGAAAGAGTTTGGCCTTGTGATTTGTTTATAGTCATTCCAAATGCAGGCTGCACTGGAAATTGACGACGACGAAGGGTGAAAGGCAAGTTTGCATTGTCCGAAGAGATCAAGACAATTCTGGGAATCAAAACAAAAGTACCAGCATAATCACCAACAGCAATCTCAGCTTCGATTACGTTTCTTGTAAAGTTGCGACAAATAAGTCTTGTGCCATTACAAAGACCCTCGGCAGGATTGATATTTCTCAAACACATAATCGGCTGGAATCTTTTCAAAACCAATTTATGTGGAGGCATACGGGAAGGTTTGATCGCATTGAGAGATTCGACAGGAAAGTTAGTAGACCCAGAATTTTGCGTTTCCTCGATTGAATCATCGGAAAGGTAAACCATTGATATTCCAGGTAATTTCTCTGTTGCTAATTCATTAATTTCGTCAACTGTTGTGTTGTGAGCTGCAAGAATTGCTTTACTGACAATGAACTCTTGATTTTTATAAAGACTTTCGTCACTTAACGAATCTCCAAAAACATTGTCAACCACCTCTTGAATGGACTCAGCATATGATACGATCGATGCAGGAATAGATATATATTGATCGTATATTTGCTGACGACCCTCGCCTATTCCCAAAAGGTAATCTTGAAACGGCGTGCCGTCCTCCAGAATGGAATCGGATGTAAGCCTCATATTTCTTAAAAGACGCAAGACTTTACAATCCCTAAACAGGACAGAGTTGGTTACACATGTATTGACAATATCAGAGCGGGAACCAAACTGAACAATAGGCAATGTTTGCCTAAAATCACCGCCCAAAACGACCACTTTTCCGCCAAAAGGAAGAGAGTAGTTACCGGTTATTTCTTGCAACAGACGACTGACACATTCGAATGTCATCTTGTTCATCATTGGAGCTTCATCCCAGATAATAAGCTTGGCATCGTTTATCATTTTGGCACTAATATCTTGTAACTTAATATTGCAAACAGATGATTCGTCAATATCAATTGGTATTTGAAACAATGAATGCGCTATTCGACCACCAGGAAGCAAAGTAGCAGCAATACCAGATGAGGCACACGCCAAAGCAACTTCACCACCAGAGCGTACTTTTGAAAGCAAGGCATTGTAAAGAAATGTTTTTCCTGTGCCACCTGGACCGTCAACAAAAAAGAATGAACTTTGTGATGGAGCATCACTATTTCTGTAGATTGCTGAAACAATCTCGTCATAAATGACACGTTGCTCCGAATTTAAACTGCCATTTTCTTGGCCTTCATATACGACAACATTGATTGCTAAATCATCCACATCATACTAGCCGATTTCGTGATCATACAAATTTTGGGCCCTAGCTGCATAGGCATTATATGTGGATGGATCTGGTTGAGGTAATTCAGGAAAATTTGCAATATCCTTATAGTTTTTAAGCAATCGGCTTGCTATATCCAAGATTGTCTGATTCATTATGAAAGCAATATCTTGCTCATCCAGGTCGACTGGACAACCCTGATTATCAACACCATGATTAGCAAGGCTTTGACGATAAGTATACTCAAAGTCGGCTGAAAGATTCTCTCTATGATTGTCCCAAATTTCTTTGTAGTTCGGAACAAAATTAAAAATTAAAAGAACAGAAAAAAGTTCTCGAATTTTTGCTGAACTGGAACAAAGCATAAAGGCTGTTTGGGATGGAGATAAAATGTAAATTAAGGTAACAAAAGAAAATACTGTTAGAACTTTGTATATCTTTTATTCGAGAAAATTTAGATTTTGGGAATTCTACTAGCAAAAACTACAGGTATTTATACTAAATCATTAGATGGCTTTCGGATAATATATGTGACGCGTTAGAGGAATATGATATAATGTTATACGTAAAGTCTGTTTAAATAAATATGTTATGAAGTAATTCCTGCCTTACAAAGTAAAGACAAAAGTACGTGAGGATCTAAATTCATCTCCGCAGGTGACATTACGTAAATGCCAAAGAGAAAGTTTAGTGCGTGTAATATTCAGTAACCGAATATTCCGCCTATGGGATTGTACTATACTTTTATGGTATTATAATATTTTACTCGTCACAAGGCAAATCACCTTGTGCACAGACACCAACGGTTCTGATGATAACAAATGGGGCGAAGTGTGAGCCATGAATATTTATACATGATCATCCATTATTATGTAAAATGTGATGATTCTTTTATTATAATCTATGACATCCTCAACAAAGGCCTCTGTCATAGCCCTATCCTATTCTCTCCCGTCTTCTAACAAATTCAGAGCTTGTGCAGCTTCTCGAAATGTTGGCCATTGTGTGGTCCCAGTTGATCTAACACCATCGTCATCATACGAATCAGTGGTTTTAAGCTGATCAAAGCTTGTTGCACCTTTGACATGCAGGAGAAGTAAACGTAGACAATATCGTTCAATATCAGTAGCTGATATAAAGTACATTCGCCCAATTGGTGGATACTTTTGATGATTGCGTCGTTTTTTCCATAGGTGTGTCTTGGCGTCTTGAACATAGTGGGCCGGTATGTCATTATACAAAATAGACCTTGCATCGATGTCATCGCAGTTAAGCTTAAAATAAGCTGTCAGTGTAGTCTGTTTTTCCATTGCCCTCTGGATTTCGACATTACTGGCTCCTTCAGCAAAAGTAACATTCTGTTGATTTGGCAAATGAATGGCTAATCTTTTGATGGAAGGTTGACATGAATGAGTACGCTTACCCATTATGCGCCAACATGCTTCTACTGTGGATATATACCGAACACTTAGCCAGCTCGTGATTTCATCCAGTTCATCATCATTATCAGGCGAAATCACAGTTGGAGTGGTAGCTGTAATATGGGCAGGGTCGGTTTGAGCAGGTAATACTGCAATTTGAGCACGATCTGATCCTTTGTATATATACTTGAACAGATATTTAATAGCCTGATTTCCAGCACAAAATTCAACGTTGATATGTGTGTTGTATTTTACGGCAAGGTATAGATTGTGAGGAACAACCCAACAATTATCAGCACGGTACCCATTTGGGAAAAGAACAAAAAGATTCGTAGGACGTCTTCTGTATTTAGCAAATCCTTTTTCATCAATAACAGTTGTATGGTAAATATCTTTTGGAAAGTGTTTACTGCATGATTTGTCTTTGTTATCCCGACACATTCTCACTTTACCAAAGGAATCGGTTAAAGATATATTGCAAGGGGTGTGCATCATATGCTTAGTGATTGTTTTAAAGGCCTTTGGAAAACGAACAGGATCAGGGATTTCAGCAGATATGTATCTATCTATATCGCGAGGAGTATGAAGCTTAGAACACTCAGCAAGGATGATTACAACATGGGCGTGGGGTAGACCACGTTTCTGATACTCAATTACATGAATCAAGCCCTTAACCTTACCGAATATCATTTTATCCTTGATATCGGTGAAAATTTCTTTAAGTTTTAAATCAAAAACTCGACAGATTAAATCTGGACGCTCCGAAGGGACCTCACCCGGAAGCAGTTCATCAACAATTTCTTTCCAATTTGGGTTGCAAGTGATAGTTACAAACAAATCTGGCTTTCCCAATGCTCTAACAACAGCCATGGCATCTTGTTGCATTTGATGTAACGCTCTTGGAGACCCAGTATGACTGGAGGGTAAGATCACTCTTTTTCCAATTGACTCTCTACTCATATCCACACCAACTCGTACATCAGCTAATCCAGAGTACAACTCGGACCGTAAAGTGCTTTGATTTGTGCGCAAATAGTACAGTCTTCGCCCCTCAATTTTACAATACATGTCCACAATATACAAATGAAATAATCGACCGAAATGACATGTCATTGTTTCTCCAGGTCTTACTTGCAAACGATGCTGATAAAATTGGTTTAAAGAGACCGATTTCTGTGTTAACCGATTGCTGCTAAAACTCTGCTCATCTCTTTCCTGATTTCTCTGGATTGCCTCATCGTCTAAATTTAACTCCAAATTGGTGTTCCATCCATCTTCACCTCCAGGGAACATCAATGAAAAGTGTAGGGAATCATAAGAGCTATGACAATCGTTCATTTTTTTGGGAAACCCGGTTACTGTTGAAAATACGATAACTTCTCTACTACCTTTCGTAACTTCGTCAGGTACGGTTGCATCTGCAATATATGCTGCAACTTCATCCGCAATAGGTACATCATACTGGCGACCAAGTCCAGGATTTCCTCGCACATAAACGTATAGATCTTTTGGTTCCTCTTGATTATCTACTGCATATGAGGAAAATCTTTGTCTCGCGTTTTCAAAAAGATTGGCATACGGTGATATTTCCTCCATCATTTGATTTAATTGGGCAACTAACTGACGATCCAAAACTTCATTGAAATCAATGTGTTGTTGTATACGTAAATTTGGATCGCTGAAGTAGACTTGAGCAAATACTGGCTTTCTTCCTTCACCCACAGTTAACGGAGCAGAACGATGATAGGTTCCTCCTTGAATTCTGAATGTGAATGATCCTTGATTAGATCCACTAAACGTTTCATCCTCGTGATCAGCTCCAAATGATGTAAACGCAAAAGCATTGTTGTACATTCGGATATTCTTTCTGAATTCAGTACTTGTGGGATGTTCTCCAGTCAAAAGTTTTTGCATAAGAGTAGTCGGCATAGCAACAATATCGATTTTGACTTTTCCATTACTGCAGCAAAAAGAAAAATTTTGATTTGTTACTTGTTCTTCTTTAAAAAGCATGGCATGGCA